CACTTTAGCCTCTTTTTGGGTTGTGGGATGCTATAAAGTGGTATCAAAGCAAGTCAATCAAGTAAGCTTAAAAAGTATATACAAACTCCAGCTCCGGTAACATCATCAATATGTAAGTGCTTAATTTTTATTAGATATGAAATTATGATTTTTGCTTAGCAATTATGATTGATTATCTTGTAAAGTGCTTATATAATGAGCTATGTAATATGTTTGAGTACTTGATGAATTCCTAACATGTTTGCTTAATGAATTGCTTATGTTTAATGTTTGTTGATATTTATATGTTTGATGCTTGTCGATATTATTGGATATGCTTATTTTTTATATTATGCATTATGGTGACTATATAGATGTGGCTATGATTAGAACAATATGACAAAGAAAAATCACAATGTGAGTATGTGGCAAAGAAAAATCACAACGAGTGAAGGGTTAAGTTACAAGGTTGTCCACTCGTGAGAGGAATAATGGACCTATGGATAATAAGGTATAGGCAGAGCATGTCTTTGAACTGTTCTAACGATAGCAAGTGTATATGCAATAGCAACGAGTAGAGGCATGATGAGCGGATGTGAGTTTTGATGTCTATATGGCGAGTTACAAATCGAGCCTAGGTCATTGTAGAGGGTTGACATAATGGAGTGGTTTCGAAAATTCAATCCAAAAGAGTTTGTGAGCAAAGCCGATCCGATGGTGGTCGAGGAGTGGATTGAGTCTCTCGAGATGATCTTCAAGCATATGGAAATGGGTGACACGGATAGGTGTCATGTGCCATATTCATGTTAAACAATGATGCTCGAACATAGTGGGAATCGGTGAAAGTTTAGTAGGATGTGCCTAATCTTACATGGGCACAATTTAAGAAAGTTTCAAAGAGAAATTCTTCTCTAATATTATGAAATCAAAGAAGATCTAATAGTTTTTAAAGCTAGAACAAGAGGACATGTTGATGTCCTAGTATGTATGTCGATTTGTGAGTTTTATTTTAGGGTTTCGTTGCGTAGAAGAAGAAGCATTTTCTAAGGAGTTTGAATGCGGAGCTACAAAGTCTAATGCGGATGTTTATAAACGATTATAGTGACTCGGTTAGTCGAGCACTAAAGATAGAGGAACACCGTGAGGAGGCAGACACAGCTATAGTGAGCAAAAAGGTATGAAACTAAATTAGTTTGAGAGGACATGATCAAACAATATTGAGAAGTCTAGAATGGCCGAGGGGTAGCAAAGGGCGAGGTTGGTGAGTGTTTGATTGGCACCAATACTTGTTACTTTTCCAAGGAGTCGGGCACATGACAAATGATTTTTAGAAAAAGAGGCATGCACAAAGATTACCAAGGTAAGTGTACATGATGATGTAAGAACAAGTCAAGGAGGACTCATAATGTGGAATAATCGAGTGAGTAAATTTTTAGGATGGAATTTTTATAAAGAGGGAAGGATGTAACGAGCATAGACCTTTAGACATAGTGCGCACGCATACACACACATATAAACACATGTGTGTGTGTGTGTGTGTGTGTGATTTACTTGATATTTTATGCTCATGTCCGTTGTGTGTTTGCGTTGTCGTAAAATTTTTATGTCATGTCATACCATTGTACATTGATGAATATTAGGCCATGCAAGCTTATCTTATAATGTGTTATGTTTATGGGGCATTTGGGGGACACTAGTGTGATGCATAAAAGACCAAGGGCTTAAGTAAATAAAGTGAACAAGTAAGGGGGTAGCAATTGTCCAACTAGCCGGAAGGAATGAGCTAACTAGCTAAAAGGCTAATAGCCAACTACCCAAGAGGCCACCGGCCAACTAGTCAAGAGGCAATCGGCTAACTAATCGAGAAGCCATTGGCTAACTATATATGCAGCAATTGGCCTAATGGCCAAAAAGTAGCTATTAGTAGTTTCTAGCTTGGGTTGGATGAAGAAGCGACCTACTATCACCTTTCTAGGATGACAAGGATTAATGGCAAAAACATGTGGCTAACCTATAATTAATGGGAATCTATTTAATTGCCTAAGTGGTATAAGTAGTAGAAGTGTTACCATGGAAAAAAAGTTTTGGCCATTTTTTTCTTGCAAGAGAAAAATAAATAGAAAGGGAGAGAAAGAGTTAGAACAAGGGGTAAGTTGAAGTTCTTGAGGGCTCCTAAAGTGTTTTCTTTCATCTTTAACCTATCTAAGTAAGTGCAATCTCAAATATATCATAAGACTTAGAAGTCTTAGGCTTTTATGTGTTAATTGATGCCCGTGATTGGACATAGATGGTTTAGGATTTTAAGCTTAATTGATTTATGCATTTATGAGAGGATAACTAAGTGCAATCTCAACTACACCACAAGATGCTTGAATTTGAATTCATTATGCTTTTCATTATGTTATGAATTGAATGGGAAGGGTTAAACCTTGATGCATGAGAACTTAAGACATGTCACTAGGCCTAGAATTACCATAAAAACCACTAGACGAATATGGAATAAAGTTAGGTTGACTTTGTGGCTAAATGAATGGCTTGAAATGCTTGAATATACTTGAATTGTTTGAATATATTATGTCAAAAATTACTTGGCTTGGCCGGAGATTCTACCATAACAATGATATTGTTGTTGCTTTGTTTTGCTTGATTTAACTCTAAATTCTAAGTTACTTGAGGTGAAATTAGACATATTTATTATGCTATCTTGGTGAATTATAACATGTATTGACTTGGATGAATTTGTAACATGATGCTTAGATAATTTTTGCTGTTTTGGTCAAGGGACTCTCTTGAATGTGTTGACGCTTTTGCTTTGAATAAACTGAATTCCTTGCTTGGAATTTATTAGATGAATTGAATTGGCTTAATGCTCAAAGGCGATTTTAGCATAGTTATGTTTTCTTGGCATTGTTGACAATATTTGGATGCATAAGTATTAAAAGCACATGTCTATGGCATGTTATAAACATTGGCTTTTATGGTTCATGTTTTAGGCAAGGAAAAGAAGTCATGTGCATGAACATAAAGAGGCCACCAATGGGAATGATCCGGTATATACCCAAGGGTTGGTTCTCAATTGGATGTTGTCTTGTTTCAATGTTTTTCATCAAGGTTTTAAAAGAGGATCAAATCGGACATTCGATAGGGCATGTTTGAAAGAGAAAAATAGATTCTTTCCGTATGGTTGCACTTATTGAGCGTTAGCTCATGTCTTTATGTCTTGTGGTGTAAGTGATCGCGACGATACTTGTGAGTAGGTCTGCTCGACAATGGTGCTACTAAACGCTTTTAGGGTTTGGAAAAAAGTGTACTTTCATCTAGGCTTCTAGCTCGTAGGTTGTATCCGGCTTATGTTTATATATTGTATCATGCTTTGCTTGTAAATATTGAGAGTAAAACAACCTTACGACCAAGACAATACATGTATAAGATGGTTATGAATAAAATAAAAGTGCTTTTTCTAAATTTCATGTCCATTTATTTTACATTGTCTTAAATCTTTTGGTATCATGTAAAGTGTTTACGCGACTAAAATCTTAGTTTTTTTCGACGAAGTCATAGGATAGTAGGTCGACACTATATGCGATAGATTTAGGCTGCCACAAATGCTAACTGCTTGGATGCGGTTTTACGTTAATGAAATTTTTTAGATTTTGGTATCGATAAAAAGTTCCTAATTATTGCATGATTTTTTACGTCGACTTTCAAACCAATTTTTTTCTTATATGAGTCGCATATCTCGCACATGGTTTCAAGTCATAGGGCTTCGTCGGATATTCGATGAGCGCAAGACATGGTCGCGGTATGCCCGACCCACTATTGGCCGCGTGTGTGCTCGCTGCATCCGAACTCGACAAATGTTCGACTCTGCTGTAGCACTCCAACCTCCTTTTTAGGCTATAAGGCACTACAAAAATTATGATCTAGGAATTTAAAATTAGGGATGGAAGCGATTCGATTGCTAATTCGTCGCTAATCGACAATGGATATAAGTGTCCCTCGCTAATTTGTTTCGATCCGACATAATTTGAATTATAAAAGTCTACTCATTTTTCAACATTAGCAATAGAATTTCCATCGCTAATTTGTGAGAAAAATATGCAATTAGCGATAGAAATTCTATTGCTAACCCCGAACCTAAAAAGTAGCAATAAAATTTGGAATCCATTGTCGATGTCCCTCGCAGTTCTCGTTAAGTCGTTTCTAAAATACCCCGTGAATATTTTATCATCAAATATAACAATGAATATAAGTCCCTCACTCGAAAGTGTGTTACTAATATGTCAATGTTCTATAGTTGAGGTCTACACCTCGACAAGAGTCATAATTCGTTCGCTAATCCGTTGCTTGATTTTCGTCACTATTTTCCGATTTTCTTATAGTAATTCTTTACTCGATCAAAGCTTAACTATTTCTTTTAATTGAACTTTTCAAGAAAGAAGATAAAATAAATAATTGAAAAAGAACATGAAATTGATAAAATGACTAATTATAACTAAATTTTAAAATAAGGATTAAATATAAAGTTTATAAAAATATAAGAATTAATTATTAATTTTATTAAACTTCAAGTGCTAATTCTTTACTAATCAAAGCTTAACTATTTCTTTTAATTGAACTTTTCAAGAAAGAAGATAAACTAAATATTTCTTTTAATTGAACTTTTCAAGAAAGAATATAAAATAAATAATTAAAAAAGAACATGAAATTGATAAAATGACTAATTATAACTAAATTTTAAAATAAGGATTAAATATAAAGTTTATAAAAATATAAGAATTAATTATTAATTTTATTAAACTTCAAGTACTAATTTATAACTTACTCTTTTAAAATTACCAACTTCACCGAATATGTATCTCGAAGTCAGCAAGTTAGTAGTCAGCGTCAGCGTCAGCTGCTCCACAATTCCAATCAAATGCCAACAACTTATCTTCACCCCTTAGTTTTAGTTTTTGTCCGTCCCAAAATACATAAACAGAATTACAGCGAAGGAGATCTGTCAGAAAGAGGAGAGAAAAATGGATTTGGAAGCAGTAAAGAGATACATAGAGAAAGGAGGAGATGAAGATGACAAGAAAGCAACGACCATTGAAGAAGTGCCTCTCAGATTCTTTGAAAGGTTCGTAATGGAAGGACTTCATATTGATCACATTGAACCTGGCCGTGTCGTTTGCTCCATGAAAATCCCTCCTCGTCTTGTGGTAATCACTACAAACTAACCTCAAAACTGTCAGTTTTGATGTAATGATCAACTTATTCATATTCATAATCAAGGATTTCAAGATGACCTATTTGGATTCTTGGGATTACTTCCATGATTGACTACTGTGTTGTCCATTATTGGTTTTGAGTTTGACAACATAAGGAACATTAGAGAAACGGTTGGATTATCCTCCATTTAGTTTGGTTGTTGAGACAACTAATGATGACTAAGAGAAAGTTGAGCTTTTTTTTTTTTTTTCAGTCAGAATTCTTTTCTCAAGTACTGTGCTTTGAGATCCTGAAATACTGGCAAAAGTTTGTAAATTTGTTTCATAATTTAAACCAAACAACGACTTGATACAGTAGGAGCGTTTTTAACTGGAGTTTCTGTGGAAATTAGTGTTTCACACTTTGATACTGCTTAGCAGAAAATGATTGCATCAAGCTTGCTGGTGGCTACAAGAAGTTCTTTGATCATTTTTTTTTCAGAAAGCACTTGCTTGCATAGAAGTTCACAAAAAACTCAAGATTTTCTAGAGGAAACCCAGAATTCACCCTTGATGAGTTGCTTGCTAGGGTTGTGCGAGCAATGAGCAGAAACAAGTGTCTTTGGTGCTGCTTCTGTAAGATTTCCTCATTTCTCAGGGTGAATTTATTTATCACCAAATAATTGGCTTAGACCAGACCTCCAAAAAGAATGACAACAAAATTTTAGAATTGCCTGCTCTTGTTGCCTTGAGAGATGAGAGATGAAATTGCAATCATGTAAGTGGCAAGAGCATCTCTCATCTCTCATCTCTTCCCGCCAAAAAGAATGAAGACGTGAAAGGTAATGATGGATTTAATGGAAAACAGTGAGCGGGAAGCGAAAAGATGTGTGATTGGTTTTTCGCATTGGTGCCTATTGCCTCCAAAACCAAAACCAAAAATGTGTCACTCACTCATCTCTTCCCTCCATTACTCATCCTTGTCTTTTACTCCCAACCCCCGTCCTGTGACAGATTTCCTGATGGGCTTGGTCTATTCTCTTTCTGGCCCATTATACTAACGGGAAATGCCATCTTATTGTTTGTGGGCTGTAGCCTATTGGGTAATAATATAATAAAGGTTGGATTTTTCCCATTTTTCTATTTTGGCAGTTGATTGGCTAAGTTCTCCTTCCCTGCACTGCATTGCCTGTCCTTTGACAGACTATAAAACTGAGTTGCCCCATTTTTCCCACTCAACACTTTTTGGTTTTCAGAATTGTCAAAAAAAGACTGCACCTTTTTACCAGGAGAAAATGACTGCCAAGAAACCCAAGAGGAAAATCAAGCATCTCATCTCTGCAATTCAATCTCCACAGGTTTGCAAAACCCCACTTTTATCTAATTCTATGCAGCCCAATTTGAAAAGATTTTGACTTTACTTTGATTTTCTTGCAGGGTCTAAATCCACCCAACCTCAAAAGACTCTATGCTCTACTTCACCATTTATCTACTTTGGACTCCCTCATAAGTGGCAGTTTCTCACACAGGAAGTTTAAGAAGTGTGGATTCAATTTCAAACTTAAATAGATTCACTGCCTCTCTGATATTTTGCTTAAACAGCTTTGGGCTGGATTTCATGGGTTCTTCTCTGCTTCACACGAGCATAATGTTTCTGCTGTTGATAATCGAAAATGTTTCCTGATTGGAGAACTGACATTGCTTTTGAGATGCTGTTTGGTTTTGCTGGTTTTGATTGAATATGACCACCTTCTTCTTGAAGAGAAGGGTTTGGCTATTCTTTCCACACTTAGCAGATTGATTTCAATAGGGTTAAGTGGTGGAAATGGAAAGAGTCATATTGCTTTCAAGAAGTTGGTTTCTCGTCAATGTGTTAGTGATGATTGTACCCTATTACTGAGGAGTTTGTTGCTAATTTATGTTTGTGGCAACCTTCTGAGCCGCGCTATGCATTTCTATTTGCTGTACTTGAGGTAGGTTTTGGAGCTTTTCGATTTTACATCCGTTTTCTTTTACTTACTGATACTAGTTTTTTTTAGGTTATGAGATATCTTCGTTCTCAATTTTGCAAGAGTACTGCTTAAATGAGATTCATAAATTATGGTTTGGAGCACTTAGAAATAAGTAGAATGTATATTTCTTGATAACAGATGTGCCTTTTATGCATCCCTTGATTGTCTTCTATGGTTTCGACATAGACTAATTCAACCCTATGGATATAGAATAATCTCATCTCATTTAGATCTTGTTCTTTCCCGGATAGGGGATGGGTTTTAAACCTGGATTTATCATAACCTGAGGCATTGCTAAGTCTCACTAGAGCTCAAATTTGGTTTTCACATGATAGGGGCAGGCATTTATTTGCATAACGTGAAAGAAATCCAGGCTTATAAGAGAGAGAAAACCAAATTCTGTGATGATCCTATTTAGGATGGGGGTACAGTTGTAATCTGCGTGATGGTGTGATGATCCTAGTTTTTCCTCAATTCTAGTTTCGTTGACACAAATTCAGTTCCAGTTAAAAGGTCAGGTCATGGCCTATCTTTTTGAAGAGTTGTCTTCATTTGTATGAAGCCTTTTCTCCTTTCATTTCCTTTTCATGGTTTCCTTTTTCTCCTGATAGCTCATAGCTGCTTTTTTGTGAGTTATCATTGGTCAAAACCCAACTTAATGTTGAAGTATCATCTTTATGTGTTTGCAGATGAACTTTTGGTGCATCAATCACTGAGACAGTACTTTGCGATAGTTGATTCTGCACCTTCCAGAAGCGAAAGGCTATTCATGTGCCCTCTGGGTATGGTAATATTGGAAGTGTTCTGGAGGTGATTTGTGCTCATTTTGTTGTATCACTTTCTGATGAGCAAGCTTTTGAAAATTTTCTCAACAGACGATTTTGGTGCCATGGGGAGGATTCCAGATTTCCTGAAATGAGCCTGCTGGCAGCCTTATCATTGCTTCTCAATCCCATCATGCTTTCTGCACCCAAATTGTTTCAGGCATATTTGATTTTAATGGTTTCTGAAGCCATTGGTATTTGCATGCCTCAACCGAATATGATACACGATCTTAAACTTATGGATTGCTATACAGAAGCATTTGAAATGTCTATCTTCTTGGATGCTAGGCACATGTCTAGTTTGCAAGTTGATGATGATTTATAGGGTAACAATGGTTCTTTTATCAAATCAGGTTTGCATGGAAGCAGTAGTAAGCTGAATTTTGAATCTATTCTACAGCCAGCCACAAGAGACAAACTACATGATCTAATTTCCAAGTCATATGATGCATAGGATTCCTATTTGAGCAATATGTCTTCCAAACAAATTCTGAACTGGTGGCTGCCTCTATTGTCTTCATGAAGGAGAACCTATGCATTGTTGATGAATCATATAAAGATGAGGTTCTGTCAATCTTAAGTTGCATAATACTTAGATGTCCATCTGATGATATTGGTGACACTTTACTGCACGAGAAAGGGAAAACTAGCTCTCAATGCATATATCTTCTTGCTTCCATCTTGAAATTAATGAGTAGTTCAATGTTGCAAGCTATCTGGTATGGAAGACATCTTAGGTTTTTAGGTTGCCAAGATTTTTCTTCATGTAAGGGCTGTGATGTTATAGTGGATATTCTTGGTTGTTTTGAGCACTTCAGCATCAATCTACCAACTCAGAAGTTCTTATGTGAAATGTTAGAATCTCACCCAGTGAGGCACAAGAAGACCAAGTGGATTGCTGTCATTGAGTTATGCTAGCAGGCTTGATTTTTCAGTTAAGGACTGTTTATTTGCACTGCTGGTAGTGTTAAATTTGTTTATTATTGAAGAAGGGGATCTCACTGCAGTAGGTTCAGTATTTGGTTCCAGGTCGGAATCCTTTTCATCTAAATCCACTGATAAATTTGGAGAGGTAAGTGTGGTTTCTTATTTTACTGGCCTCCTCAGTTTTATTTTTAATGTGTTTCTAACCCATTAACATTTCCCAATAATGATGCAGGTCATGGCAGTCTCAAAATCTAGCCAAATAGTTTCATCAAAAACTCGAAAGATTCAGTAGATGTACTTGAGGTAAATGGCCTTGCCTCTTCATTAATTTGAACTTTACTGGACACCTCCAGCTTCATTGATAGATTTTCACTTTAAGATACTAGTTTGTAGCCCCTTTTTCATAACTTTTCTCCATTTCTTTTCTGTTGTATGCAACCTACTTTCCATTAATTTCTTGTTGCAGGCCTGATTTGTTGAGGATTGTACTTCTGCTGCTGTTTATTTAGAGTCGGTTATCTTGATGGTGTAAAAAGTGCAAACAGGGAAAATTAGATAACTCAAGTATAGCATCTTTAGTTATTTTTGTTTTGTTTTTCAACTTCCTGTTCGTTTTTGTTTATGTAAATAGGCATCTACAATTGCCCAGAAGGATTTCTTTTCTTCATGCTTCTGTATTTCAAAATGTTATTGTATATAAGCCTTTAAGCTTTGTGCATCTAGGTAGTTAAAAATCAATGTGGATGACGGAGTATCAAATACACTAGTGATTAGTCCTTCCTGCTAAAAGTTATGTGGTCATGTCAGATGTTTATTCATGTAGTCTTCACTTTGATCTCTGAAATTATTTTCATAAGAGACTCCTTTTGTTTTAAAATGAATATTAACATTGTAGTAATGTCTATATTATAGTGAAATCATGCAGTTATCTCATAAACTACAATGAAAAGATCTAAAGTTCTTTGTGGGAACTGGCGTTTGTTTGATTTCTGCTAGTCATTTAGTCAAGAGGACTGTAGCGTGTAATCACTTACTATACAGGAATGACTCATGTCTACAGTAAATCAAATTGATTGCTCAAATTCTGTTCTATCTCTTTGTTCAAGTAGTACGACACTGTTGAAATCTGCTTACTGCCCGATTTGTTTTCTTATGGTTATTTTCTTTGTGGTTATAAATTTCCTCCTGTTTTTGTGTAGACTGCATCTGTAAAGAGAAATAATACCTTAACATCACCTATTTTTCCCTGGCTTTTATTGTTGTATTCAGAACACGCTCCACCGTATGTTCCAATGACAAAAAGCAACACAACGAAGTAGGAACTTCAGAATATGCCCCCATCATGAATGAGGCGGCTTCTGTTGTCAGCACAGAAGGTCCTAAGGAAACCTGCAATGGTGAGATCTTCCTGATGTGTGTACTAGGGAAGTATGCAAAATCTGATGATATGGATGATTTATCAGACTTCATTGAGTGCGAGCAGGGAAAGAATCAGTCCAGCTGGTTGAGGGAGCGACAAAGATTTAGAATATGGAAGTACAAGAAAACGATAATTTCGAAGGTGGAAGAAAAAGAAAATGTCTTGGAATCATCTAAAAGGGTTGTAAATCAAGATGTTGTAAGCTTTTTTCATTTACCGGTGCACAAATGTAATAGAGTGGACTATGATCTGTAAAGGTTGTAAATTGGTCATGAATCTCTTTATGAATTTACAGAAACAGTTGAATATATTCCATTGACGTGTTTGTGTGTTGTTGTTTCCTATGTTTGTTGTCTGCTTGTTGTTCAGAGGCTGAGTACACTTATGATGCAGATGCAGGTTCTTACCGGCATAGTTAAGTGCTTTCTTCACTTCAATTCAATTTAAATATTACGTTTAATTGTTCTAATATGAGGTAAACTAGTGAACTCGTCCATTCTAGTTACTGAAGAAAGATAGTTTTTTATTTTTTATTGAATTTTTATTATACCACCACCATCATAATGGTGGTGATAAAAAAATTATTATTATTATTATTATTTTGCTATTATTTTTTTTATATCACCAATATTGCTCTTCTTCTATTGTTGTTTTTTATGGTGGTGGTATCAATTTTTTTTAATAGATTATTGTTATTATTATATTGCATCACCATTTTATCCTCTTACTCCACCTCATCATTATTATTATCATAATCACTTTTATCATTTGTTCTAATGTGAGGTAAAAATAAATATTTTACCTTTATTAACACTAAAATTAAAAGATTTAGGGAAATTAATAGTGAATGAATAGTGATTTTGTTGTTTGTTTTCTTATAGATTACCATCAATGGGCAATAGTGTAATCTTTTTGTCATTTTTGGACATTTATTTGCTACTTCTGCACTGCATTTCATTTTGGTCCCTCATCTTTTTTAAAAAAAATTGATCATGTGGACTACTTCTACAAAGGCTAGGCGTCCAGCTTGCTTTGGGCCTACTTCTGTGGGCCCATGCAAGCAATCTTGCCTTGACAGAAGCCAGGCATACAGGCCTACCTTTTTTTTATTCTCTTTTTTTTTTCCCCACCAATTTAAGCTTTTTTTTTTTCTTTTTTCGTTGAATTGGGTCTGAAAAATATGAAAAGCTCATCATTAGTTTTTTTCTCTATATAAGCTAGTAATTATGAAATATATATGATATATTTTCAAATTTTAGAATTAAAATATATATCAGATTATGTTATTCTAATTTCTTCGGTTTGTTGTTTCTTATAAAATTCTCATCAAATTAATATTTAATTTTTTATGTAATTTTATTTGTTAAAAAAATATAATTTATTTTCTCTTTGTATAAATTTTTGAATAACTTTTTATTTAGTTTTTTTTATTTGCTTATTCTTTATATAATCAAATTTTAAAAATAGAATTTACTTATTTTATTTGTTTATTCTTTATATATATCAAATTTTATCGAAATCAATTATATTTTTTTTTATTGTGCTTTATTAACTTTAATATATTTTATATGACTTAAATTGTTTTTAAAAAAATATTATTTAGTTTATGCTACACATTTTAACCCACTGAGTACGGTCATAATATATATATATAAAAAAAATTAGAAACATTGATTTTAATTAAAATTAATTATATATCTATACACATAATACCAATCATACCCTAATATTTTTTAAAGTTTTAAAATTAAACTCTTTCAAATAAATAAATTAAAATAACATTTTAGAAGAACGATGTAATAATTCAAATACAACTTTTATATTAATAGTATTTATTATTTTGTAAATAAGTATATATAAATCAAATGTTGTTATGAAATAATGAATGTCTATATGAATGTTCATATTCATTTCATATCTTTACTAATTATAATCCTTAATGTGATTTAATTCATCATTCAACATAGAAATTAAAAAGGTGGTGCATTTGATTCAACTATCTATGCATTTTTAATTATTCACGAGTCTCTTCCAATTCTCTTCCTAATCTTGAAGCCTATAAATAAACTTGATTGTTTATTAGTTTGGTATGTGGTTGTTTTTGTAAAGATTGAGAGAGTTGTTTTGGAGTTGCTATCACTTATATTCACTTTATTTTTCTATCATTTTTCTATCATCTCTCTCTTCAATTCTATTATTATTACTATTTCTTTTATAACATATTATCAGCATAGAGCTTTAACTAACCAAGATAATAGGTCATGAGATATGTATCTACCAAAAGACTTAATCATTTATTTCAATCGTTGGATTTTTTTTTCAATATGAGTGTTTTACCAAAAGATCTAAATTATCTATATCATTAAGATATATGTATCTAATTTATCATTTATTTTAAATCTAATGATACGTAGAGTATACGTTTAAAAAACTTAAATGATTTAATATATAGAATCTAATAATCTAATGTATGTTATTTCAAAAGCTTAAATTGTATTATTATGTTTGTTCTTATTCCCTAATATTATTATTATATCTTGATTATAAAATTATTATCATATCAAACCTCACAAAGCTTGATTTTATGGTCATTGACATTCCAAAAAAAAAAAATTATTGATCATGGGTGCTTGATGCTGAGAAAATATTCTCTACTTTTCATATCTCGGATATGCTTTTGCGATAGTAATATAAAAAAGAAGTTTTTAGAAATATTTTGAATTAATTTCATGCTTGTTTGTGTCCGAACAAAATAATAAGCTATTGATAAAAAATCATGAATCGCATCTAACTAGGTCTACTCCATTCCCCGAGTGAATGTTATAACTTATAATAATTCTAAACATGGACATGGACATGGTCGTGGAAATAGGTGTAGCGAGTGGTTGAAAAAATTATTATTATAATTGTGATGACTATAATAACACACTTTACCAACAATAATAGATAAATTATAAAAAGAAACAAGAACGGAATAAAAGTGAATCAAGTCGGTATTATAAAAAAGAATGCTATGGATGTGACATGAAAGGACATTGGTTGCATACCTGCCATACACTAAAGCACCTCGTTGAGCTTTATCAATCCTTGTTGAAAAATTAAAAGTGAAATATAGAGGCAAATTTTATATATCAAAATATGGTAATTAAAATTAATAACTTATTAGTTTTTCTATTTATAAATAAGATCTTTTATATTTTTTTTATAATTTATATGGCATAATGATAGTTACAAATTTATTTTTGCTATATATTTATTTACTTATTTTGTGTTTATCTAATTATTTATTTTATGTTAATATTATCGGATAGTATTAATCCATCGAAAGTTCTAGAAGAGTGAATATATTATTACCGAAAGATACAAATTTTACAAGCTTCGGAAGGGAAAATATATTATTACCGGAAAAGACAAATTTTATTATAAATGATGTGCTATTTCTCTAAAATCTTATAGAAATTTTTCGAGTTTTAAAGATATTTATCTAAATGGATATCATATCAAGATAATAAATGTAAAAAATATTGAATACCTATCTATTAAATTATTAAATCGGGTAGAAAACATATATTAGAAAAATTATTCACTTTCTCTTTTGGCCTTTATTACAAATATTCAAATGATTGAAATAAATGTTATAGTTAATCAAAAGTTTACTAATTTAAATACTTTTATTACGTGGCATGATCAGTTGGGCTATCTTAGATCTTTCATGATGCAAAAAAATATTAAAAATTCATATGAACATCCATTGAAAAGCCAAAAGATTTTTAATCTAGTATAATCATCTCAATGTATATTTATCAAAAAATTTATAAAAATAACTCTATTTATTCATGTATTTTTATAAAAAAATCTGAAAAAGAGTTTGTGATAATTGCTGTATATATTGATGATTTAAATATTATTGGAACTCCTAATGAGATTCCAAATGCTATAAGTGGTCTAAAAAGATAATTTGATATAAAATACATTGAGAAAACAAAATTTTATCTTGACCTGCAGTTCAAGCACTTAGAAAATGAGATTTTATTCATCGAGTCAACTTATGTAGAAAAATTCTCTAAGGATTCTATATAAAGCTCATCCATTAACTAGCTCAATAGTAGTTCGTTCACTTTATATCTAAAAAAACCCTTTGGCCTCGAAAGATAACGAAGAACTACTTGATCCCGAAGTATCATATCTTAGTGCAATTAGTGCATTGATATATTTTTCTAATAATACTCGACTTGATTTAGTCTTTTTTTGTACATTTATTAGCAACATATAGTTATGTTCTAATAAGGAGATATTAGAATGAAATTAAATATTTTTTATGTTATCTCCGAGGAAAAATTGATATGATATTTATTTTACTCAAATAAATTAAAATCGAGTTTAATTGGTTATATAGATGCGAGGTTATTTATACGATCCATATAAAGCTCGATCATAAATAGATTATATATTTACATATAGTTGTCTAGCTATATCATGATACTCTACGGAGCAAACTATAACTGCTATATATTCAAATCATATAGAAATACTAGCAATTCATGAGACAGATCAATAATGTGTTTGGCTAAGATCAATGACTCATCGTATTTGAGAAACGTACGATTTATCTACCAAAAAGGAAGTTTCAATAATATTATATGAAGATAATGTTGCTTGTGTAATTCAATTAAAGGAAGAATACATCAAAAACTTATTCACTAAGGCATTATCTATCATAACTTTTGAAATATAGTTCGCAAGATTGAGATGCGTCGTCTTAAAGATCTTAAATGATATTTTTAACAGAGAAAATCTATTATGGAGGTTAATATATACAAGAAATATTGTATTCTTTTTCCTTCATTGAGTTTTTTTCTAACCGGGTTTTTTCGAATAAAGTTTTAACAAGGTATATTTCTTGTAAAATAGACTTTCAAAAAAGAGTGTTATGAAATAATAAATGTCTATATTCATTTCATATCCCAACTACTTATAATCTTTAATATGATTCAATTCTCATTTCAATATAGAAATTAAAAGGATGGTGCTTTGATACAACTATTGATTCATCTTTAATTGTTCAAAATCCTTTTCAATTCTCTTTTTAATCTTGAAGCCTATAAATAGACTTGATTGTTTATTACTTTGGTGTGCGTTTGTTTTAGTAGAGATTGAGTGAAAGAGTTGGTTTTTTTTTTTTAAAAAAAAATTTAAGTTGCTATCATTTGTATTCACTTTATTGCATATTGGATTCATTTTTTTTATCATCTTTCTATCTATAGTTAATTCATTTTCCTATCATTTGTCTTTCCAATTCTATCATTGTTACTAGTTCTTTTACAACGGATGTCAATATTTTCAAAAAGTTAATCCTATCATCAATATTAAATAAGAATAAAAAAGATTAATTTGTTATTTTTTATACAAGTTTTTATATTAATTATTACTTTATTTATTCGATGTAATGATATGAAAAAATTATTAAGATATATTTTTTAAAAATTTTAAATTTAGATTATTATGGATTTTTATTTAATAAAAAATGCATAAGAAATAACAAATCATGTTTTTATCACTACAAAATTTATTAAAAACACAAAAAAAAAAAAATACAAAATTTGATTAAAAATTATAAAATAATATGAAATATATATTTTTTAATTTAATATATTTTAATTCATCGAAAATATAGTAACTTTTAAATAATAAATGATATATTTTCAAATATCATTTTTAATCGGATTTTAAATAAGGCATTCATACTCGAATTAGTACATTGATATGCGAAGTAGAACATATTAAAACTACGCAAGAAGGAGAGCCTAATCAGGCATGGAAACTTTCTGACTTTGTCATGATTAGGAATGCAGCACAACAGTTAACACGCTTGAAAATTTTGCATCACTAGCAAATATGACCAGTTTTATCACTAGAATGAGTATTATTCAAATGGATTGGGCTTTATACGTGAAAAACATTAATTAATTAATTACCTCTCTAAGTAGCAACTTCCAATCCTTATCCTCTAGTCATAGTAATCATGTTTGCCCCTTTTTTTTTTTTTTTTTCTTTCTTATTATTAAATGCTAGTTTCAAAATTCAAAATTTAAAAGTAAATTAAGAAGAAAATAAACTTCTTGATTATGAGAACAATTCCTTAAGGTTAATAGGATGGTTTTTCAATCTTATTATATGTATGACACCAGTTGGTTGGTTTCACACTGGATTATTCTCCTTCCCACCCCAAAGTCAAATCCTATTCCCCTTGGTTCTTTTTCTTTCCTTTTTCTAGGCTATTCCTTAATTAACTCCATTTCCGCTACAGATAACAGGCTGTTTGGATAAAAAGAATTCATTTGAAAATTTTTATTAGCTTAGGAATTCTTTCGTCCTGAGCTTAATTATATTTTCTCCTAGAGTTGAATCTACTTTAATATCCATGGCAACTACCAATCGGATTCGAGTAGAGTTGGTAAGACATGATTTAGAACGCTTGTAGACTAACAAACTTGGAATTTCAAACAGTAAATACCCCATTAGTCGCGAATATGTTACAAAAAATAAAAAATAATAAAAAATAAAGATCAAAAGAAGCATGATTTGTATAACTGTAAGGATTTTATTGCTGCATTGCTTGTCATCAAATTTAAAACAAACATATATATATATATTTTGCTTACCTTAAATGAATATTTTACCTTTGTATTAACAAAAAATCTACAAAAAATGAGATTTTTACTATTTATTAACTATTCACTCACACTTATATTTACTATTCACATAGCATTATTTGTAATTCTTTCGTGTGCATTATTTGTAATTCTTTCGTGTGCATTATTTATATAGTATTATTGTAATATTTGTCTTTTATACCTTCTAAATAATAAAGGATATATGCCACAAGATATATATATATATATATATATATATATATACACGTGGAAGAGCATACCTTTTTTAAACTTTTTAGTAACAATAAAAAATAATTTTCTTAGTAGCTTAGAACATTTTGATAGGTTTAAAGGAGAAATTTTATAATATTCAAATAGTAATTAGTATAAATTACTTTATAGAGAGAGATAGGTACCAAAAATGAGAGAGAAAATTAAAAAAAAAAATTTGAGTTAAAGTCAAAATCTTTTTATCACTTTTGATGGATCTGGATGTGAATTTTTTTTTTTTAATATACCTATATCTCTCATCAAAAAGAAGTCAATGAAATAACTATTGTACATATATACTAATTACTCGTGAATATTATAAAATTTCTCTCTTTAAAAAACATGTTTACTTATCAACTCATAGATTTGTAAATAATAAATTTCTCTCTTTTCTTTCATTCTTTTTCCTATCACTCTAGTCTATCTTAACATTAACATGCTTTGACTTATCTTTATTTTTTCACATAAAAAAAAAGGATAAAAAGAAGAATCCTTCGAAAAAAATTCTTATACTTTTCAACTCCAAACTAATATTGTTCTCTTTTTCTTTGTTTTGTAGACTAAACAATATTAAGCGTAACCATCTCTAATAATCACCCCAAGCAAAAACATTAACGATGGTGTCATCAGAAGACTTCAGCTTCCCAAAGATGATCAGCCCCCTTTCTCACTTTGCAATCTCACCATCATTATGGCGCGTATCTTCCCTAGTTTATCCCGATTATCGCAAAAAAAATGGTGGAAGAGAGTTAGATATCCAGCAAAAGCTTCTCCTTTACAGCAAGCGAAGTGAAGACAGAGAGCAGTGAGGAGAAGATGGACATGTTATGGGAGAACTTCAATGAAGAGGAGCTTCTAAGGGTTTCTTCTAATTCCTTAGGCAGGAAGAAACAATATTCAGATGATAGTTTGGATTCTGAATCTGGAAGAGGAATGAATCAGCTTTGTTGTGCCAAGAAAGACTTGAAGATGCCTAAATCAGAGAAAAATAGCCTCATAAGTGCTCCTGCTCGGCATAAGAGACAGTATTGTTGTGATGTTCAAGCATTTGCAGAAGATTTTCTTGCTTCGAAGCTCATCTCCAGATCCAACAAAGAATCATAAAAGAACAGTAAGGTAGATAGAATTATATGACATACATAGATATGTACACTGTTTTATATGTTAGCATAGACACAAAATAATAAAAGTATTTCTCTTGATTTGAGCTTTGAGAGATATGAATATTCTTCTTGACTTCCACATTCAACAGGATTTTCTTGATTCTTTTGTATGGCTTTAATTAATTAGGTAATTAAAATGGATAAAATTCGAATTGGAGACTTATTTCATGATCTTCCTTGAACAAGCAATGGTGAGGTAAATTTTATTTGTTCTCATGTGTATGCGAGAGATTGAGAAATATACACAAGAGAAAGTTGTGACTATTTCTTTTTCCGTAAGGACTAATTTGATAAGAAAAAGTTAAAAGTCGTATAAGCACTTGATTGAAGTAAATTATAAATTAGTCCCTCTAGTTTTTTTTTTAAAAAAACGAATTACCTAGTCTTTCTTGTTTCAAAAACTTGTGAAAAGATAAATATGATCGGTGTGGATGTGATAAATTGATCGGTGTTAAATTTGAAGGTTGATGCCTTGTTTTTGTGATTAATTAAATATGCTATGTGACATGTGCAAATGTGATAAATTAATTGATGTTAACTCTGAAAGGTGACACTGAGTTTGCGATTGTTTAAATAAGATGTGTGTGAATGTGCTATGATGCTTGGTGCTAGCTTTGAAAGATTACATCGTGCTTATAAAACAAATACGTGTGATATGTGTGAATTTACTATGGCACTTGTTATTAGCTCTGAAACCTGATATCGTGCTTGTGAAACGAATATGATTGACATGTGCGCATATATGGTAATGTTTGGAGTTAGCTCTAAAGGCTAACGTAGTGTTTTTGAAAATTTTTATTAGTTTAGGAATTCTTTGGTCCTAAGCTTAATTATAATTTCTCCTAGAGTTGAATCTACTTCAATATCCATTGCAACTACCAATCGGATTCGAACAGAGTTCGTAAGACATGATTTAGAACGCTTGGGGACTAACAAACTCGGAGTTCCAAACAATAAATACCCCATTAGTCATGAATATGTTTGAAAAAAATAAAAAAATATTAAAAGGAGTATGATTTGTGTAATTGTAATTGTAAGGATTTTATTGTTGCATTGCTTGTCATCCAAATTGGATATATATATATATCAATTGCTTACTTTAAATGAATATTTTAACTTGTATTAACAAGAAACCTTAAAGAGATGAGATTTTTACAATTCACTTACACTAATGTTTATGCCCTAAAGAGCAAGGAAATTTGAAAGAGTAATATACTGACCACCATTATCAGATTCTGATAATGTGTTGATGTTTTGGTTGAGGTGTTTTTTTGTAATTGGTTTGAATTGAATGAATATGTATTTTACATATGATTTATATTTTAGAGGATAAAATCAGATATAATTAGTATAATGATCAACAAAAATGAAATAATATTTAAAATCATCGTAAGAAATTACTGGTGTAGTTCATACATATGAGAAAATTATTTGAAGAGAACGGTAGAGTTGAAAAAAGATAGTTTATGACTCTTATTGCGATAGCATGTGTTGCAAGAGAAATTTAATGGGACAGATGATGATAAACCTAAATTATTGCTGGAAGTAACATTATTTTAAAATAGGAAGAGCAGGGTGTCTCAATCTACCATGCCACTCGGATGAATTGGTCTTGATATTGCAAAAAGCAAATAAAGGTGAGAATTTAGCCACTTATATACACCATCCTCAGTTGTACCCTTCAAAAGCATTTCTCACGTGCGAAGATCCTTTGCATTAAAAGAATACGACAAGAATTCAATTGAGAAATTATTAGAAATACAAAATTTAGAAATTGAAATCAAGTTCTTTTTTCATGTTAGGTAAATAAAGGGCATTGTTTAAAGAAAATTAAGCATTTAAAGTTTTAAGACTGGTGGAACCAGTATGGGTTATGAAAAGACCAATGCCATCTTCAATCATAATGTCATTGGAGCCATTGTGAGGTGTATGGAATGATAGATTGCTCAAGTCGGAGGTGACGTGATGAGAAGCACCACTATCCAAGAGCCATGTTAGAGGACTGAAGGTGTTGACAACAAAGTTTGCTTTGGGTTGCCATGAAGAGTTTAGCATTGTTGCAGTGGTAGTGTTGGAGGATTGAACTGTGATGAATTGAATTAAGGGGCAGCATTTGGTAGTGTGTCCTTGGATTGTACAGATTTGGCAATAGGTAAGGTAAGGTTTTGACGGGCCACGATCAGATCTAGAATTCAGGCTTGTACTGTTGCAGGCAGAGTTTAATGATGAACACTAGCCATTGTTATTACTAGAGTTTGAAGATGAACGCTAGCCATTATTACTGCTAGAGTTTGAGGATGAACACCATCCATTGTTATTTGTTAAGTTTTGACCAGAATTTGATGAGTTACGCCACCCATTGTTGGTGTGATTTTTCTAGATTAGTAGTAGTTGGAAAATAAGAAGATTTAGTTTTGTTAGTACCTTAGAGAGACGTTTCAAAATCTAGAAGCTTCTCATGTATTTCATCAAATGAGATTGAAATGTCTTTAACTTGAACTGCATGAACCGATGCTTCATGATTATCTCCAAGTCCCTCAATAATCCTATCTGAAAGGTCTTCATCTTTCGTCGATGCATCAAGGACTGCAAGTTCATCGACTCTAGCTTTGACCATCAGGAAAAATTCAGTAATACGCATGGAACCTTTAGTGAGCTACTTTAGTTGGTTTTTCACCTGCTTGATTCGCTAGTGAGATAGTTTGGCGTATGTGTTGGCCAGTATTATTCAAGCTTTTTTCGATGTTTTTGCTTGAGTAATGAATAGAATTATGGTAGGGACAAAAAAACAAGAATTGCATTAAGAATAAATTGATCTTGTCTGATCTAGATTGTATGTTCTAGATTTGGTGTATTGGTGTTACTGACAGGTTTATCTAGGCTTTAGATTTGTCAATCTAGCCTAAGAGATCATACTTGTGAGTAGAACATTAAATTGTAGCTTTCAGGATATATAATTACTGCAGGTAAGCTTTAATGGAGTTTATCAATTTATCTTAATTTGATAAGGAATTGGTTCCAAGCAACAAAGAAACAATTATATATATAATCGATGAATGATGGGATTAGTATATTAACATATTTACATTAATATCTAAACTATAATATGTTAAAATTAGGTAAGAAGGAGAGCCTAATCAGGCATGGAAACGTTTTGACCTGTCATGATTAGAAATGCAGCACAACAACACGCTTCCAAATTTTGCATCACTAGCAAATATGATCAGTTTATCACTAGAATGAGTATTATTCAAATGGATTGGGCTTTATATATGAAAAAAATTAATTAATTAATTCCCTCCCTAATTCACCAACTGCCAATCCTTATCCTTTAGTCATAGTAATCATCTGTGGCCTGTTTTTATCATTATGGAAATTCGTAAGCAATCTTTGCAGACTTTAGTAAAGAACTTGTAAAAGTTGAATGGTAGGGTATGCTCAAGACTGACTTCAATTATTAATTTAATCTGACGAAATTGTTACAAGGAAAATGAATATAGGGTCTTCCATATCATTTCTAATTGCCTGAGCAGTGGGCTCCATGATAGAAATTATATGTACAACTTAAAGATAAATGTTTGAACTTCTCTCAGTCCTTGCAGACTTTCAATTTCATGAAACCAAATCAGGATTTGACTACACCACGTAAATACAAACACAAAGGGCAGCAAAGTCTAACATGGATAGTGTTCGTGCCATATAAAAATGGGTGAGGCTTTGTGTCATTCCATATGTCATTTCTTGCTAGCTAGGAATGAAACCCATGTATGTTTTAGTTGCTTGTGCTCTTTCCTTCACTCACATATCTTTCAAGGTTGCAATCTTCGGTGGAAATATGGCCGTAGAGTTGCCATCAAACAGGAGTACAAGAACCGTATCTCAGAAGTGACGAAAACGCTGTCCATCAAATGATATGATAGTCAGGAAGCTGTTCAAGGCAAACAGGCAATCACCATACAATAATTTGTTGGGAGCTTGTTACATGATCGAGGTTGAGACAGGAGATTGATGCCTAATTTTCACAAAAAGATGGTCAAAAGGAACCAAATAAATGAGCATGAAAAGGGGCATTAAATTTGAACCAAGAAAAATATGCTTCTTTAATATGTCATCATGGCCAAAAAGGCATTCGAATATTATCAAAGAAAAGGTTATTATTATTAGGAGAAAAATGCTCTCTATAGAATCTCAACCGTCTCTCCCTAGTGGAGAAATTGATAATCCTAAAACTCTAACCCCGAGTGTACCACAAAGAAAGTCCGTATACAAGATAAAGATCCAAACCCCGTAACTTACAATGACACATCGATGCCTTCAAAAGTTTTGAATTTCAAGCGTGTAGTGACTAATGGACTTGAGTCGAAAGTCAAAAAAAAAAAAAATGGAATGGACGTCCATGATGGAGATTGTGATAGAAGATGGAGACATTACTGTAGTAGAAAAGGAACATGTTCAATCCATTGAATTGTTTGGCTCTTTTAAAGAACGCTTGCAAAAACCATGAGAGCTTTCCAAGATAGAAAAGGTCCTCGGGACAAGTGTAGGGTATAAAGCCTTATGTGTTAGATTTCGGACAATATGAAATACAACTAAAGCTTTTCGGGTAATAGACATGGCAAATGACTTTTCCTAGTCCAATTTTCTTGCAAAAAGGACTAAATGCATGCTTTGATGGGAGGGCCTTGGACTATTCTTGGTCATTGTTTGACCCTATAACCATGGAACCATTCTTTTAGAGCATCGATAAACGGAATCCGAAGAGCAATGGTATGGGTTAGGTTCCCCGATCTTCCATTAGATTGGTATCATCTTGGTATTCTTCCAACCCCGGAAAACATGTTGGGGAAAACCATCAAGATAGACTACATGACACAAACTAACTCTAAAGATAGGTTTGCAAGGGTTGCTGTGGACATTGACATTGAAGCACTAGTGAAGAGT